AAGTGGTTCTGGAGTTTAGAACCGGGGAGCATCTACTCCCTGGATGAGCTGATAGACCGGTTCATCCACCGCTTCGTGTCGTCTCGACCAATAACAAAGACTTCAGCTTACCTCTTGAACCTGCAACAGGGTCAGGGCGAGTCACTTCGCTCATACGCCCAAAGGTTCAATGAGGAGAATGTACAGATACCTGACCAGAACGAGCAGGTAACTATCGCTGCCTTCACCAACGGGTTAGTGGCAGGGATCTTTAACACCGAAATCCATCGGCAGTACCCCCATACACTTCGGGAGCTCTGGGAAAGAGTGGACCAGGGAATCCGAAGTGAAGATGTAAATCGCATGAAGCGAGAATCCCAAGCATCTCGTACCGGGCAAGATCCCCGGAGGAGGAAAGACACAGGCCGAAGTGAACAAGGCCGAGGTGAACAAGGCCCAAGTGGCACTTCAAACCAACTCCGAGACCGCCGAAGTGTCTTCGACCGGATCGTGAAAGGCAGATCATCCATCTCGGACGCCGAGCTGACCCCCCTCAATTCGAGTTGGACCCACGTCCTGGCTGTGATGAGGCAGAATCACCTCGGCCGCAATCCTCCCGAAATTCCGGGGAGGAGAGATAAAAGGAACTCGAACCTCTACTGTGCCTACCACCGTGATGTAGGGCACGAGACTGAAGACTGCAATGACCTGAAGCGGGAAATCGAGAATTTGATCCGGCAAGGATACCTGAAGCAATTTGTCCGCAAGGATGGAGGCTTCAACCGAAGCGTCTCCCACCGGGAGAACCGGGGCCCCCGCCGAGACGACCGACAAGACACGAACATGCATTGCCGAGGTCCCGAGGACCGTAGGGAGGACAAGCAGCCCCCACGCGATGGCTCACCGGGCTACGGCCCCAACATCGCCAGGGTGATCAACACCATCGCGGGAGGACCAACGGGAGGAGACAGCCAGAACTCCCAGAAGCGGACCTACCGCCAGGCCGAGATGGAGGTGACCGAGCCGAGCTCTCGGCTGTCCGAGGTCATCACCTACGGTCCCGCTGACCCCGTTCCTACGGCCTCCAGCAATCATGAAGCTCTTGTGATTGAAGTCCTCACCAACAACTACGTAGTCAAAAAGGTCTACGTAGACCCCGGAAGCTCGGTAGACGTCCTGTACTACCGAACTTTCGAAAGTTTGAAACTGACCAGGGAGCAACTCACTCCTGTCAGAACTCCCCTCGTGGGATTCGGGGGACACGTCGTCCACCCGGAGGGCATGTTGACCCTGATGGTAACAATCGGGCGTCATCCACGCTGCCGAACTGTGCCTGTCAGTTTTGCGGTGGTCAAAGCAGACTCCCCCTACAATATGCTGATAGGCCGGCCCACGCTCAATGCCTTGAGAGCCGTATACTCCACCTACCACCTGAGCTTTAAATTTCCAACATCTGCGGGGGTGGCCGAGGTGAGCAGCGATGTGGGCGCCGCCCGGGAGTGCTACCTCGCCACCATTCAAGCAGCAGTCACCCCCCGGCCCTCACCGAGGTCAGAAGAAAAGAGACCAGCGGTCCTCTCCATAGACTGCATCAACCCTCAGAAGGCAGAAGAGCCCAACAGGCTGGAGCCCGGGGATGAGGTGGAACTGGTGGTAGTGGATGAAGCGAAACCTGACCAAGTGCTCCAAGTAGGGGCTGGACTACCCTCACCCCTGAAAGAAGAAATGATCTCCCTGATCAAAGACCACCGAGACGTCTTCGCGTGGTCCGCGGATGAAGTGGTCGGAGTGCCACCCGAGCTCTTGATTCACCAACTCAACGTTGACCCACAGGCCCGACCTGTGCGACAGAAACGAAGGCACTTCGGCCCCGAACGTAGTCAGGCCATATCGGATGAGGTCGACAAGCTCTTGCCGGCCAAAATGATCTACGAAGTCCAATATCCCACCTGGCTGTCCAATCCAGTCATGGTCAAAAAGGACACCGGTGGATGGAGAATGTGTGTCGACTTCACCGACCTCAACAAGGCCTGCCCCAAAGATTGCTATCCTCTGCCGAGGATAGACGCCCTCGTCGACGCGGCGATGGGGTATGAAATCCTCTGCTTCCTAGATGCCTTCAAAGGGTATCATCAAATAGGAATGAGTGAGGAGGACCAAGAGAAAACGGCGTTCTACACCGACCGAGGTACTTATTGTTACACTACCATGCCCTTCGGGCTAAAGAACGCCGGGGCGACCTACCAAAGGCTGATCAACCGACTCTTCCAGAATCAGATCGGCCGCAATGTGGAGTCCTATGTGGATGACATCCTCGTTAAAAGCCTCGCCACTTCATCCTTTCTGTTAGACGTGAGGGAAGTCTTTGGAGTCCTACGAGACTCGAGGATGAAGCTGAATCCCAAGAAGTGCGTCTTCGGCGTCACCTCGGGAAAATTCTTGGGGTATCTGGTTTCCCACCGGGGAATCGAGGCCAACCCCGACAAGGTGAAGGCCATTCAGGACATGTCCCCACCTCGGAACATCCGAGAAGTCCAACGGCTAAATGGACGCCTGGCCGCGCTGAATCGCTTCCTGTCCCAATCAGCTGAGAAAGCTCTGCCCTTCTTTAAGGTGCTCAAGAAGGCTGATCAGTTTGCCCGGACGGAAGAGTGCCAGGCCGCTTTCGACAAGCTGAAGCAATACCTCTATCACCTACCAACTCTCGCTTCATCTCGGCCCGAGGAGAAGCTCTACCTCTACCTCTCCGCAGCCGACGAGGCTGTCAGCGCTGTTCTTATCCGGGATGAGGGCACCCAAGTGCCAGTCTACTATGTCAGCCGGGCTCTCCGCGGACCAGAGACTCGATACACTCAGGTGAAAAAACTGGTGCTGGGGCTAGTCCACGCCGCTCGGCGGCTGTAGCCCTATTTCTTGGCTCATCCCATATCCGACAGGACCGACCAGCCTCTCCGACAGATACTGGTTCGACCCGAGGCCTCCGGGCGTCTCACCAAATGGGCTGTGGAATTGGGAGAATATGACTTGTCATACGAGCCCCGCACCGCCATAAAAGCACAGGCCCTAGCCGATTTTCTGGCCGAGTTGACCTTCACGGAAGGCCCAGAGTCCACCTCCGCCAGTGCCGAGGTGTCCACCTCATCCCTGTGGATATTGTATGTAGATGGATCCTCTAATGGGGATGGCAGCGGAGCTGGGCTACTCCTAGAAGGACCTCAGGGAGAAGTGTGCTCTTATGCCCTCCGCTTTGGCTTCCCAGCCACCAATAATGAAGCCGAGTACGAGGCCTTAATCGCTGGACTCCAACTGGCCCGAAGGCTCGGCGCACAACAAATCCACGTCCGCAGTGACTCCCAACTCGTCGTACGCCAAGTCCTTGGTGAGTATGAGGCCAAGGATGAGACCATGCAACGGTACCTCTTCAAAGTACACCAACTCACCGCGTACTTCGAGTCCTTCGAAATCCAAAGAATACCCTGTTCCCAGAATAAGCGAGCCGACGCCTTATCCCGGCTGGCTTCTACGTCATTCTCTGAGCTCAACAAAACTGTTTTAGTGGAAGTCCTGAGTGAACCAGGATATGTGGAAGAGGTGGCCTGCCCCGTGCACTCTGAAGAAACATGGATGACCCCATTCATCCTTTTCTTGGGTCAGGGAGCCCTCCCTGAAGACCGAGCCGAGGCGAGAAAAATACAACGCAAGGCGGCTCGGTACGCTCTCCGCGATAGAGAGCTGTACAAACGTTCCTACCTCGGTCCATGGCTGAGGTGTGTCACTCCCGAGACAGGACGCCACGTCCTCCAAGAGATCCACGAGGGCTTGTGTGGAGCTCACGTCGGCCACAGAATGCTAGCCAAGAAGGCTCTGCTTCTTGGATATTTCTGGCCCTCAGTTCGGCAAGACGCCCAAGACCTCGTCCTCGGCTGCCCTTCCTGCCAAGTCCACGCGCCCGAGTATCACCAGCCCGCCAACTTCATGGTTCCCATCACTTCACCCTGGCCATTCGAGCAATGGGGGACAGACATCATAGGTCCTTTCCCCAGAGCCGTCGGGGGTCATACCTTCCTGGTAACCGCTGTGGATTACTTCACCAAATGGGTTGAAGCCGAGCCTCTGAGGACCATCACCGGGCTGGCAATTCAAAAATTCTTTTGGAAATGCATCGTCTACCGCTTCGGCATACCTCAGGTCATCATCTCGGATAATGGGAGGCAATTCGCCGAGAACCCCTTTAAAAGTTGGTGCACAAACCTTGGCATCAAACAACATTTCACTTCGGTAGGCCATCCCCGGGCCAACGGCCAAGCAGAAAACTTCAACCGAACTCTCTTGCACGGCCTTAAGACCCGACTACACCGAGCTGGAACATCCTGGGTCGAAGAACTCCCCAGTGTCCTGTGGTCTTATCGGACCACGCCGAGGTCAGCCACGCAAGAGACCCCATTCTCCTTGACCTACGGAGCTGAGGCTGTCATCCCCGCCGAGATCCTCACCCCTAGCCCCCGACTGGCAGCCTATGCCGCCGAGGTGAACGACGAAGAGAGACAGATGGATCTCGACCTCGCCGATGAACGAAGGGACCTCGCCTCAGCCCGGATAGCCTCCTACAAGAACACACTGGCACACTATTACAATGCCCGTGTCAGACACCGTAGATTCCAGCCTGGAGACTTGGTTCTGAGAAAAAACTCAGTCAGCCGAGCTGAACCGCAAGGGAAACTATTCCCAAAGTGGGAAGGCCCTTACCGAGTTGTGGAGTCTGACCTTAAGGGATATTGTAAACTAAGCTACCGAGATGGCTCACTAGTGCCGAGGTCTTGGCACTCCGAGAACCTCAAAATGTATTATACTTGAATTTTTAATCAAGTTATGACTTCGGATCTTATGTTATTTTTCAACATCGGTTCTACGTTATTAAAAAATAAAGGGGGACAAGCAAGGGACGAAGTCAAAGCAGACGAAGTCAAAGTAAGAAATTAAAGTGCTGAGGTGAAAAGAAATAAACTTTCATTCAAAAAAGAAGAGCGTTACAAAAAATACAAGGCCGAGGTCGGAGTGCTACTAAGCACTCTCCACCTCGGCCACCCCTTTAAGACCCACGAGCCTAGACCCCTGTCTCGGCTCCATTCCCCTTCTCGGCTCCCTCCTGGGCAGCCTTTTCTCCGGCCTCCTCTCCACCGGGGTGAAGCTCTTCTCCATGCTCTTCGCCGATGTTCCCTCCAGACACTTCACCCGTCCCTTCGCCGAGGCCTACCTCGGCTTCTTCTCCTTGGCCCTCCTCGAACACTTCGTCGAGTTCAGACAGCCATTTGTTGAACTCGTCTTGGATCTCGGCCAGGTTCCTTCCATTTTGGATGCCCTCGGCCATCCGGTCACACAATTCCTTGGAATCTTCATTGTAGTGAGCATTGTCTTTCAGTGACTCCAAGGCTTCAGATGAGAGGTGGGCTGCGGCCGCGTCCACACCCGACGTGAAGCCAAACATGAAGCTCGGCGTAAGCAGTTGGCCGAGATCCTTGGTAAAGGACTCAGACCTCCGAAATGCGTCCACTGCCGAGGCCCCAACACTGTTGAGGGCTTGCTCATGAGACTTCTTCACCTCCTCCCCCCTCTTCTGTTCTTCTTCGAGGGCCGATCTGAGACTGTTCATAGTAACCTCGGCCTCCTCACCCTTAGCTTCGGCCTCCTTGAGCTGCCTTTGAAGCTCGGCCTTCTCAGACTCGGACACCGCCAATTTCTTCTCCAACTTGGAGATCTGATTTTGCAGCTTGCCTGTGTCCTGCTCCTCGACCATAGCACAGTACCGGTGTGCCATCTCGGCAACAAAGGCTGAGTTGGAGGCCGTGGTCACCATGAGACTCTGAACCATCTCGGCCGGGGTCAGCTTCTTCATGAACTCCAAGTCCCTTGACAGGGTGGAGTGCATCACTAGCTCTTGGGCAACCCGAGGATGGCTGCACCTGTCGTTGACCGAAAGCTTCCAGTTCGGACACCAGTGCTCGCCAGAGTGTGTCTTCTCCTCCCCGGGAAACACCGGGGGGCTATGGAAACGGTTCCATAGCGAGGTCCCCGACACTGCATTGACTGGGGGCTTCAGCTGCTTGCCTCGGCCATGAGGTGGGAGTGCCGTGGTGACTCCAAGAGGCACTCCCTCGGGCACGGACGAGGTGGACCCCGTAGCCGCGGTGGCCGAGCTGCTTTGACCAACCGGGGTGGGAGTGCTTTTAGCCGCCGAGGTCTTGGCAGCTGGTCCTTGTGATTTCTTCTTTGGCGGAGGTGCCGATGTCTCGCCAGAGCTTTTCCTCTTCTGCCTTTTGGCCACCTCGGACGAGCCCGATACGACGATGTCGGACAGTTTAGTCACTGCACAAGAAACAAATATTATCATATGCCTTAGCCGAAGTGAAAGCAAAGTTATGAAAGAAAATTACAAGGAATCTTAAGTTTGGTGGAAGTGAAGGGAGTTTTGTCAGGACTGAGCAAAGCTCGGCTGACTCCTCCATCAACCAGCACGGCTTCGGGGTAGTCTAGGCTATATATCCGAAATCCTGACCCCATCAGCTTCTGGAAGTCCTCCTCCTTGGCATCCCCAGCGGAGGGATCGGCTTTCGCTTTGATTGGCCTCCACCAGAAACCTCTGGGAAAGTCCACTTCGGACACAAAGAAGAAGTCGCGTTTCCAATTCTTGATTGAGCTGGGAGAACCGACCACCAACTTCGGAATGGCATTGTTCCGATTGCTAACAAAAAACCATCCCTTGTCTGTCCCGTGCGCCTTGAGGGTATAACATCGGCAGAAGAGGTCGACAGAGGGAGCCACCTCCTGATGTCGGCACAGCATCTCGAACCCTATAATGATGCGGATCGCGTTCGGGGTGAGTTGGGTAATCCTCACGCCGAAGTGACGAAGCAAGTCCCTGAAGAATCTCGACGTGGGCATCCTCAGCCCGGCCTCTAACTGTTGGACATAGATGGCCACTGTGCCCAAGGGGGGCTTTTCGGCTGAGTCATCTGCCCCGGCCGGTATGATCTCGTACCCCGACCGGAAAGGGTACTTGTTCATCACCTTCACGGCCCTATCTCTTCCGATGCGACTTCTAAACTTCGGCATCTTGCCGAAGTCGATGTTGGCTAGGTCCTTGGGAGCGACAGGCTCCAGGGCGTCCTCGTCGTGTGGTGTCTCGACGCCGAGCTCCTCATTGTAGTCCACCCCGGAACCACCCTCGCTCATCTCGGATGACTCCAACTCCGAGGCTGCCCCACTGGCTCCCGCCTCGGTTGATCCCTTCTCAGAACTCGGGGTCGACCCTTCCGAGCTAGACGTCGTCGCTTCTTCCCGAGGATCCGGCCTCACCTCGGTCAGGTAGCTCGGAGTTATGGTCTCTCTGTGGGTCTTAGCCGTTTTGGCCATGGGTGAAAGATGAAATAAGAAAGAAAAAGGGTACTTACTATTGCCTACGGAACTGGACGAAGTGGATGACCTCGGATCTGATCTCGGCTACTATATTGACCTCGGCTACGCTCGCGAACTTTGCAGGTCTCGGATGAAAATGAAAGGTGTGGGAAGTGCGGTGAGGGGGACCCCCCTATTTATAAGGGTTTGGGGAGAATCCGAAGAGGCGGCAAGAATGTGAAAGGACGGCCACGTTCGAATTCAAAGCGTCGTGCCTCCCTCTCTCCTCATTAATGCCCCGTCCTTTCAGCTGACACCCTCTGCACGAAACGTCCCACTACTTCACGACGCGACGGTTACCAGTGACCACGTCCTGTCAACTGACACGCCCACGTGTCGCGTCCCCGCATCTTCCGGGGCAGTTTCAGGACTCCGACTCTCTACAACTTCGGCCCAAGGAAGCCTCGGTACCTCCCTGGCCCGGAGCTTCCGAGGCTTGGGGGGCTTATTGAGGATGCTCACCTCGGCCGCCCCGCATGCCCGAGGTGAACTCACCTCGTCCGTCATCAGAGCTCATCCGTGTCTCGGGCATATCCCTTAAACTCGGCCGGATCCCCAGTCTACCGTGTAGGTGACCTCGGCACCTCCACCTCAGCTGCACGCGGATGATGCCAAGACACCTGACATCATCCGGGATCAGTGCTTTATCTGAAAAGCACTGTCGCACTTAATGACTACTGCGAAGGACTCCTCGTCACCCTGTCCAGGCGGCTACAGTGTCAGAGTCAGGCCCCCCGACAGGGAGCAGAGCCGTAATGGCAGGACATGGTTCCCACCGGCATAAGACCTCCGTCCTGCCCTTCACTCTCACTCTATAAATACCCCACACACTCCCAACAAGTAAACACACTGTTCATTCTCATATACTATTATCTTTCTCGTTCTCATACTAACTTAATCGTCGGAGTGATACCAGGGGAGAAGCCCCGCCATCCACTTCAGACGTGAGGATACACCTCACTTCATCTCAGAGGGGCTTGATTCGGGTCGGTTCAACTACCCACCGAAAATCACCTCTTCAGCAACAAAGCCATTTCACCATTTGACAGATAAATGATGGAGATATAGACATGTTCAGCCACAAAGGTGGCAGGATTTGTTTTCCAGGTTGGATAGGCATCATGATGTAAGTGGGATGTCACCTGATTAAAAACAGCTGGCAACTGATCAACAAACTTGTTGACTGAAACTGCCACTTCTGGATCGTAATTTGGAATCATGGTTCCAGGAGTATCAAGTAGTCCTTTCCATGCATCTGCTGTATATTAGTATCAATGAAAGGAGAAGGCATTAGAATTAGAAAGACAACATAAGCAATTATTCAACCTCATCAGCTATATATCTTCAATCAAATGAAGCATTGTATCATACCTATGAAAAAAATCCAAATTTGATTTTAAAACCATTACTAGGATATTTTCATTACTACTTGAAGGCTTGCCTTGGTTTACAGAGATACCTTATATTTGGTAATTGTGATACTTGGGGAGTGTCTCGCCCCATTTTTTGCGATGAAAATAAGTATTTATAAAAGATGTGATTTTATTTAAAAATAAGTAAAAAAGGACTTAGAATGAGACTTGAAAGAATGCGATAGTTTGGATCCAAAATTTAGTCTAAAAGAGTTTTTTAAAAAAATAGGAGTCGCCACTTGGTATTGAGTTTGGGTGTACCAAGTCACCCAAAAATATTTTTGACAAAAATATTTTAAAATAAAACCCTTTTCGACAACTCCAGATCTTTAAAAAAACAAAGGAAAATGATTTCGAAAGTCACGGTTGAAGAAAGGAAAGGCAAAGGTTGGATTAAGTCACACTTAAGGCACCCTTTCAACCTAGTCTAAGCTAGTTGCGAGATTTAGTCAAAGTTTTCCTAATCTAACTCTTAATTTTATCACGCTTGGATGTTTCTTACATGGTTGCAAATCTAAATTTAGAAAATATCAAAAAGGACAAAATGTTCATTCAACGGTTTAATTGATACCAATCGCATTAATTGCGAAGACCAAAATAATTCCTTGAAAGTGTCGCGAGTATACAAATGATGAAATTAAAAGAAAAGAAAAGAAAATTAAATTACATACATAGGTATAAATGATCAAAGGAAAAGGAAATGTAGCATAATAGGTATGGAAGGCAAAAACTCGTGACATAATTTTCTTATACAGGGATTAATAGGATATTTAAACTAAAGAGTTATAATCATCCATTTCCCATGTTCAAAGAATAATTTTCCTAATCTAGACAAGCAAATGAACTAACTTATTTTTGTAATTTTTTAAATGAGATGCAATTCTAAATGATATGATTAACACATTTAGAGGGTAGGGGGTGAAGAATAATATAATAGGAAATATCATGCAAATGAGAAAAAATCCTAAAAAATGTGCATGAAAATGTAATGAATGTCACACAAGAGATGAATCTAACGCACGAACGATCTAAGAGTTTTGCATTGAACTAGCCCATTTCTAAAGAACCTTACTAGCGTTGGACTAGCAAGCAAGCGGAAAAGAAAGTCACAACTAGCGTTAAATTAGTGTGGTGACACCATGCATTAATAATACATAGTAAAACAAATAAGGTATAAATTAAAACAAATAAACACATAAAAGCACGTAGCACATAACATATAAATATAATATCTATATGCAAAAATTTTAAAAAAAGCGGATAAAGCACATAACACATAAGCTACATAAATACACAAAAACTTATCTATTACAGTGGGGAATCTAACTACAATCTAAAATGGGGAAATAAAAAAAAATCCTATCTACCCTATATATTATAATAGGGGACCTAATTACAATCTAAGATGGAAAAAATATGATAAAATAAACCTAGTTATCCTATCTATTACATTAAGCTATCTAATTACAATTTTTGTAAAGAATATTACCTATCTATTACATTTTGAGGTATTTAAATACCTCCCAAATAATTATAAAATTAACTAAACAAACATAAGAAAATTTGAATGAACATTTGAATCAAATAAATAAAGCATATAAAAATATATAAACACATAAGAACATGTAAGAGCATATAAGAGCACGTAATCGACATTTAAATAATATTAGGGGTACCTCCATTTTTGAAGTGGTAATTCAATAGAGTCAAATTGTCCTAGTTATATCCAAAATGAACAAAAGAATCATGGTACCAATTTAATTGAAAATAATAATAATGATAAAATACTAAATTCACATTAACATGTCAAACATAAAGGAATTTAAGAACATCTAAAAATCACAAGTTAAATATGTTCAAAAGTAACATAATTAGCTATTAAAGAAAATAAACAATTATAATAGACTGTCAAAATTCACTAGGGACCGAATTGCAAAAATTAAAAATTGTTGGGGTAAAAAATAATTTTTCCAAAATTTAGGGGTCAAAATTAAATAAAAGATAAAGTTTAGGGACAAAATTGAAATTAAATTAAGGACCTAATTAAAAATTTTAAAATTCTGGACCACAATAAAATTACTCCAAAGATTAGTGGCTAAAGTGCAAATTTCAGTTTCTGGTTTGGGCAAGAAAAGGCCATCGGGCCTTTTTTTTTGCTTGGGCCGAAAATTCCTAAACCCAGTCGAAACCCAAAACAAATAAGCGGTCCAGCCTATCCTTTTATCACTCAAGCCCGACCAAAAATGCATGGGGTCTGACCTCCTAGCACAAGCCGAAACCCAAAAGAAACAAACCAAAACCCATTCCCATAACTTAACCAAAATAACCATAAGCCCACCACACAAAAAAAAACATTAGCCCAACACTTTTTTTTTTCTTTCTTTTCCTTCTTTTCTTTTTCTTCTTCTTCTTCTTCAGTTTTCTTCTTCTTCCACCCGAGAAGCTGAATCTTCTCCTTGCTGGCGGCTATGGCCACCTCCGGCGGAGCCAGCGCCGGACCGCCACCGGACGCAAAATTTTCGGTTACCAAATTTTCTCAAAATACACCCCCTCACTCGATTTTTTGCGTAGATTCCATTTTTGGGCTTAGTTTTTACAAAAAAGGAACCAAAAGTGGCGAAAATAGCAAAAGTCAGTCCAGTTTTATTTTTTTTTCAACACTCAAATCTTCACCAAAAACCATAAAATTTAGAGTGAATGGCCCAAAAGGTCATTAAACTATTAAAAATGGCACCCTTTCGTCATCAAACTTTTTTTGTGGTCCAAAAAGTCACTAAACTCACAAAAACGCACTAGCGAGGTCATTTTACTGATTTTTAGCAGTTTCTCATCCGGTGGCACCGGCAAGGTGGAGTGGAGGAATATTTTTTAAGGGGCAAAAATGTCCAATAAAATATGACAGACCTGTTTTGTCCCCGCAAGCCGTGCCCTTGGATCTAAAACTTCATTGAGCCCTTCTTTCATCTATTAGACAAATCTTCTTTCATCTTCCCCATTCTTGCGGCTCACCACTTCAAAATCTACTCTTGTGGCTCTCGGAATGCCATGACTATAATAGACTCCGACAAGACTCTTATTTGCCTCCGCAACGCCTGCAATTTCGTCGGCAACCTCGTCAGGTTAAAAGGGCAGTTTCTTTTCGTCAACACCAACACCCTTTTCGACGAAATCATCGAGGAAATGACGAAAGCTATTGGGATTAAGAATGACAAGTCGTGGCGTCTTGAAGGCTTTTTAACAAACAGTTCGAGTCCCAAAAAGTTTCGCGGCCGGAATAAGAAGTTGAACTTGGGAGCCATTCACGCTCCTGATTGTGTGGTGATTTTCGATACGGAGAGGAAGTCTTCGGTTATTTTGGAGGCTGAATGGTTGCAAGTTCCGATTGTGGGGCATGTTGATTCGAGTATGCCGTGGGAAACTTATAAGAAGATTACTTATCTGGTGCGTGCCAATGATTCAGTTCAATTTGTTTACTTATTTTGTAATTTGATCACTAAAATTTTTTTGTATGAGCAAAGAAAAATGAAGACTGCACAAGGGGCAGATGATTTAACCGCTGGGACTCGGTATGAACTCTACTAATTTTACTTTTTGTGTTCATTTTTGAAGAAAGAAGATTTCTCTCTGAATAGATGAAAGAGAGACTCAATGAACTTTTAGATCTAAGGGCACGGCTTGCGGGGACAAAACAGGTCTGTCATATTTTATTGGACATTTTTGCCCCTTAAAAAATATTCCTCCACTCCACATTGCCAGTGCCACCGGATGAGAAACCGCTAAAAATCGGTAAAATGACTCCTCTAGTGCGTTTTTGTGAGTTTAGTGACCTTTTAAGCCACAAAAAAAGTTTGATGGCCAAAGGGTGCCATTTTCAATAGTTTAGTGACCTTTTGGGCCATTCACTCTAAAATTTATACTACAACACTCCTTGTGATTTTTACAACATAACTATGAACGGAAATTAATAAAAGCAACAACAAATATGACAAAATTAAATCAAAACAGTCCTAAAAATAAAAAAAAAATCCTTCAATACTTTTGAGACTCAAAACTCCAAAAACTTGGATAACCAAACATTTTCCGGGCCTTGTGCTAGTTAGGACCATCTATCTTGACAAAATAAGCACAAAAGATTCACTAAATTGATTCATTTTTCGGTTTGACATTTTTACAAACACTTAATATGCATTCACAGAAATCCTCTTTTCCTCTTAATATTATTCGTGACTTACCCCAAAAAATTCAACAAACACCAGCAGCCAATTTCTTTCACAAAACCCACAAAATTATTGATCATCAAGGCCGAAGAAAAGAAGAGAAAAAAAAACCGAACCAGTTTGCATTAAAAAAAGAATCAAATAAATCTTTGCCAATTTTCCAGGAGCTATCTCGTTGGAGTCAAAATAAAAATAAAAGGAGAGACTTACAATAGTTTTACAATGGCGATTATTATGGCAGTGGTGGTGGTAATGGCACTAGCAGCAAGCTCCCAACTTCACCCTTGATCTTGCCTTTCACCTTCTTTTGCCCCCCTTTTTTTTTCGGTTTGTGAGAGAAAATGGCTGCAGAAGGAAGGAGCTGAGAGAGGGAAGTGATTTTGTATTGGTGCGTGATGGTGTATGAGATTGAGAGGGAGGGAAAAAGAGGGGAGCCGAGAGGGAGTATTGGAGTTTTTTTTTTTAGCTGTCTGATGGTGTGTTTGTCTGTCTGGGAGCAAAAGAAAAGGCCGAGAGGGAGTATTAACAGAGTGGAGTTTGTGGCTTGTGTTGGTCAAAGAAATGATGGACTTCCAAATGACAAGAAAAGTGCATGGAAATAACATGATGAACTTTTTGACGAAAATGATGAGAAATGTTAATGAGGATGGAGTGTAAAAATAGATTAATAGTGGTTTTGATAAAACAAAATGATTAGGATGATTTTTGATTCCTTGATTTCTTGATTTTGTTCTTTTTTTTCTTTTTTTTTTAAACCAACCTAAAAATAAATAAAATAAAGATGAAATAAATAAAAAAATATGCACATTAAAATACAAGAAAATAAATAACTCATTAAATAGATAAAATTCAAGAAAATATTAAAATTGATAAAATTTTGATATCTACAGGGGCTAATTACTCAGAATATAGGTAAGAAAAAAAAATCGGAGACTTATTAGTCTGACACATGCTGGGTATAAATCTATTGTTGCAGCCCGGCACCTGACACCAAATTTTTTTTTAAAAAAAATATGTCAGGTGCCAGGCTGACACAACTCGTCACCTGACCCAATTTTTTTTTTAAAACATGGCAAGTGCTGGGCTGGGCTGACACAGCCCGGCACCTGGCATCAAATTTTTTTTTAAAAAAAGATGTCAGCTGCCAGGCTGACACAACCCGTTACCTGACCGAATTTTTTTTTTTCTAAAACATGGCAGGTGCCGCATCCAGTCAAAAGTTTTGCTTTGGGACTTATTAGGGACTTACCCGGAAGTCTTGGGACTTATTAGGGACTTACGACGAATTGTGTCATCTGGGATTTGAAGCAGTTGCATTAATCCATCTAATTGTGATTGCTTGCTTCCTCTTGCACCAAACTTCCCAAAGTTCCTTTGAACTCGTCGTGAACGTCCCATGGTACAGTAGGGTTTGGGACAGGAATCTCATGCGGCCATATGTAACTGTTTTGTTAACTGGAACCATGTGGCTATATACAACTCTTTTCCTTTTAAATGGGTATTATTGGGTATATTTTGAATTAGGTCTAATTCTATATTTTACATACCCATTCCACCCAAATTAAACTTGGGTATGGGAGCCCATTGGATCTTAGAACTTTTTGCCAGTCTAATAACATTGCACAGCAGAAACTTTATTAATATTTCTTTCAAGTGTAGGTGGGATTACACTCCATCCCCTGTATCACTCAATTTATTCCTTTCTTTAAAAACTTTATTAATATCTTAAACACCAATAAAGCTCAAGAAAAAATTCATACATATCCTCCACCAACGATTTAGACGTTTCAAGAAGAAACCTATAATTGATTGACCCTAATAAAACACCAATTATACATACTTGGTAAACAAGAAATTAGCTAATAAAACACCACTTACCAATAAGAAAACTATTAGAAATTTTGACTTCAATATAACCCTTGGAAATTAAATAAGAATCTGCTTTATTTGTCCACTCAAAGATGTGATACTTCATTTTGCTACCCTTAATGTCCTTTGCGTCTAATTTATCCAAATTACATCATCTCCAAACCCTTGATCCTAATTTTTAAACCACTCGTAATGAGTGGGGGAAGAAAAACTTTCAACAAAAAAAAAAATGAACTAGGGATAGGTATGGTTAGAAATTTCATATCATTATTGTACTTTCTATATTATATGGTTAGAAATTTCATATGATTATTGTACTTTCTATATTATAGTATGAGAATGGCTGGAAAGAAGAAATCAAATCCTGCATGTAGATCTAACAATTAATCTAATTAAATATTAGTTAAGATATATTTCAGGTATCATATTTTTTAAATTATAAGATTAATTAGAAAAGGTAAATAAATATAAGAGAAAGTATGTAAGATTAAATAGAAAAAATATATAAATGCAAGAGAAGCTAATAATTATTAGTATGTATATATATACATGGCAAATGTGTAACATTGAATTCATCCCTCTCCCGCGGTATCTTTCTTAGTATTTAAGTACACTCAAAACATCTTTGGGGAATCTACACATTGTTCGGCACATGCATTGCAAAAGTGGTCTTTCCTTAATATTTGGTCCAAATAATACATCAATTATAAAATACTTGGTAAACAAGAAATTAGCTAATAAAGCAACACTAACCAAATAAGAGAACAATCCCAAATTTGACTCCAATAAAACACCTAGAAATTAAATAGGAATGTGCTTTAAAGTTGAGATACTGCATTTAGCCACCACTAATGTTCTTCAATTACATCTCCCCCAATTCTTGATGCTGATTTTCAAACCATTGGGGAAAGCACACGTAAGTGAACTCAGCGGCAGCTTCCACTTTCCAAGACGTGCCATGTAATGGTTTGTAAAGATCAAAGGGTAATTAAACTATCTGGACGAGATGCCTTATATTCTTTGCAATTTTTTACCGCTGACTAATCAGAACATTTCTCCATTACTTCGCCAGATCCTAGTTTTTTTCTAATTAGCAAAAAAAAAATAAAAATTCCATAATAGTTGTAACGAGATCTAACACAGGCAGGAATTCTTAGCTTTAGGAATTCTATAGCTCTGCCAGCTTTTTTAAAAAGCTTAAAAATTTGGTGTCAGGTGCCGGGCTGTGTTAGCCCGGCAACAATAGATTTATACTCAGCATGTATCAGACCAATAAGTGTCTGACTTTTTTTTTTTTTTTTTTACCTATATTCTAAGTAATTAGCTAAGTAATTAGCCATCTACAGGGAGGTTTTAATAAAAGTTTCAAAAATAATAATTTCAAGGTCTTGAATTGATTTCTGTTTCTTGTAAATCATAAAAAAAAAATGAGAAGACAAGTTAATTATATGTCACTCTTGTGCTATATTGCTTGTTCTGGAATAATAAAGTACATGAAATATAGCCTGCCATAGTTTGCCGGTAAATACCTCTGTATTCCCTAAGACCCTAAAAACAATATTCTACTCCCTCAACACAAAATAGAAGAACGATGTTTTAGATGATCTAAAGCCTGACATCAAAACACTTCATGCATTAAGTTTCTCTTCTTGATAAAGCCCAGTTTTCAAGCATCAATCTGCATCGCAGTGTTATAAAAGCTTTACGCACGATTAGCTTGATGAAGGATTAAATCCATCACACTCATATCTTCAGGAATAAATGAGAAACAACATTATGTGGGTTATGTGAAGGAAGGACTTAGGAGGACTCGTAGATTACAGCCTAGCATATGCAGACTCCCCGTCCCCACAACCCCCCCTCCACCCTCGGCCCAACACAATAAGAGAGAGGGGGTGTGGGAAGCTTCTATGGTTCAGGAAAATAATTGGATTGCGATTTTCTGTAAAAAAAAAAATTTACGTTTTCCGTGAACACATTCCCAATCACCTTTTCACCTCACAGTACATTTTCCTTCAAAAATTCTTAAAAATAGCAATCCAAACAAGGCCACACAATGAATTAATTGTTAGTAAACTTTTGCAAAATTAAGAAAAAGAAACCAAATGCAAGAGTACAAATTATTTAGTTTTATACAAACCAATAAAAATTACTTTTTTTTGTTACTGCTACACTTGCTATCCACAATGAAAATGCACATATTAACATTTGAAAGGCGTAGAAAAGTTGGCATAAACGTGCCCCAAATTTCTCCTCCCACTTCAATGTTGGCATTTTTATCTCTCAATTATGTTTTGCAAATATCCGTAGAGGTAGCAAGGCTTATTTTGTTGTACAAAAGAATGAATCCATATACTTTCTCGGCTTTTCCTTCCATTTTACGCAGTTGATTTAAAATTTTCAGTTGATATTTGAATTTTGAATCAGTTCATTTGCCCCAAACGAACCACGTTAGGATTTCAATACATTTTTTACTTTTTTATTCTGCCCACTTATTATAACGATGTTGTTTTTGGTCTAGCAACGGGACCAGTAGAGATAGTTTCGCATCTCGTCGCATTTTGTGAGAGGATTGTTCAGGAACGGTCAGCCTAGTGACCGATCCTACCCGAAATATACCTAAAAGCACAAAACATGGCTCTTACATTATCTCTCTCATAATAAATGATGGTGGGCCATTGTACTTTTGCTTCACAAGTTTGTCCCCCATTCTTTTTTTTGGAGGGGGGTGGCAAATAGTGTAATTTATACGAAATTTTACACTATATCAAGGGCATTTTTTGAAAGTTGAGGAGGGAGGGCAATTGTCCACCCTCAACTATTAATAGCTCCACTCTTCCAAACAAGCTGAACTAGCTCTTGCACAAAATATAAAAGTTATAACCTTTTGAATTAGCTTTCCAATGCATCAAAAATCATATCATTTGGGACTCTGTAGGCTAAGAAATGATAGATTTCTCCCTGACTAGTCAACAGCCATTTTTAGATTTTGGTTTTTTAAAAAAATGCATCTCTGTATTTTAAATTTTTGGCCCTCGCAATATGCAAATTGGACTTCGATGTCTTCATAAGAAATGTAGCCTATCTAATACATGTAGTTCAAGTTATAGTTGAAAAACTCCGATGTGTCAAGGTAGCCAATCTTCGTTGCCACTTAGAGGCTTTGTTAGCCTGGATAGGATGAATTTCCCTTACCTCAGAGTTTAATTGCTATGTACTCCTGCACTTTCTCGTGAAAAAAAAAATGTACTTAATGTCACTTGAAATCACTTCAAATAATCAAAAATCATGCAAATATATTCTCGCTTTACTCCATTTGATGATTGAATAATCAAAACCTACAAAAAATATGAAGTTTTAATCGCTTAAATACATAGAAATGCAATTTTTCTTACTTAATCATAAAATACAAACTTCACTAGAGAGCTAGTTAAATTAGCTCTTAAAATGACTAAAAAATGCCAAAAACTACATAATAAAACACACTAAAAATATGCAAATAAATAGTTATGAAAATTTCTTTGTGCAATTGATCAAGTATATAAAAATTTAAAAAAAAATCAATAGTTGAATGAGGTATGGTTAGAAAATTGAAATGAAAAAAAAAATCAACAGTTGTCAAGAAAAGAAGTTAACGGTAATTTTTGTTTGGTGGGTGGAGAGCCA